TTTTTCCTTCACCACAGTGCAGGCGGCCGGCGCGGAGGCGGCGACGCAGGGGACGGCGCGGAGGCGGCCTGCATGGCGGCCGGCGCGGCAGCGCGGGGGGCCGCGCGGCGGCGGCGGTGGGCGGCCGGCGCGGCGGCGCGGGAGGCCGCGCGGAGGTGGCGGCTGCGGGGGGCGGCCGCTCGGCGGCAACCGGCGCGGCGCTGGCCGGCCGGCGCGGAGGGGAGGAGGGGAGGCGGCAGTGGCCGCCGGCCGGATTTTTTTTCTTTTTTTTTTGAGATGTGAATCTGTGATGTATTTTTGTGTGAGATGTGAATCTGTGATGAATTTTTTAGAACCCTGTGATGTAATTTTTTTAAGAGTTTGTAATGTATTTGGAGATGATTTGTTTGAGGATTTGGAGATGTTCTGTAATATGTGATGATTTGGATATGGGAGGGGATGGTGTGAAATCAATATTCAATATTAAAAGCAGAAAAAAAAAGAAAAAATATTTTTAGTCCCAGTTGGTGTTATCAACCGGGACTAAAGATGCTCCCATCTTTAGTCCCGGTTGGTAACACCAACCGGGACTAAAGATTGATGTTTAGTGCCGGTTATTTGAACCGGGACTAAAGATAGCGATCTTTAGTCCCGGATTCGTAGTCCCGGTTGAAAAACCGGGACTACAGGGGAGTTACGAACCGGGACTAAAAAGCATTTCTCCACCAGTGTTTACCAAACAAATCCTCTGTAGCAATGTGTGACCTCTCTATTGCTGCCTCATGGTTTAGGTTTAAGTCAAGCGCACGAGCTTTTACTGTACAAGTGTACAGAAATACGTGTAGTCAACACGAATATTCAAAGTTATAGGAAGTCAAATACCCAATAATTCCTACTGAACAACAGTAAAAACAAAACTAGTGGGTGTGTTTAGTTCACGACAAAATTAAAAGTTTGGTTGAAATTGGAACGATGTGATAGAAAAGTTGGAAGTTTATGTGTGTAGGAAAGTTTCGATGTGATGGAAAAGTTAGAAGTTTAAAAAAAAGTTTAAAACTAAACACGGCGTAAATTAATTATAGGCTTATTGGAACAGGTGGGACTTTGTTAATTTGATCCAAATCCCTCAGCGATTCCAAAGAAATCCTCACCACCCAACCTCTTTGACTGTTAGACCATTCATGTTTATCTATTGCGCTTGGTGGATGGGATGCCACATTTTAAAAATATTAATATTTAAACCAATCTTTCTTATGTCATGAGTTGCCGTCATTTTTCAAGAACAATATATAACTCGGACATAAATAAACTATAATAAATAATAAAATAGTACTCCCTCCATTCTCGTAAAGGAAAAATCGTTTAGGATAATCTTTAAGTCAAACCTTAGGAATATAAATCATGAATAACTCTTAAATTGTTGAGTTTAAAAATGTAAAAATTATATGAATAGATTTGTATTGAAAAATACTTCCATAAAAGTATACATATATCCCTTTTCAATGAATATTTTTATAGAAAACAAGAAGTCAAAGTTGTATTTTAAAGACCGTGTCGATGTCCTAAACGACTTCCTTTGTGAGTATGGAGGGAGTACTTAATTACTACCTTCATCCCAAAATGTAAGTATTTTTAGCTATAAATTTGGACAATAGCTAAAGCTATGTTCGGGGATACCCTTTTCCCAACCCATCTCCCTTGTTTTCCGCGTGTATGTTTTTCAAACTGCTAATTTGTGCGTTTTTTTAAAAAAAGTTTATATACGAAGGTTGCTTAAAATAATCAAATTAATCCATTTTTGAAAAAAATAGCTAATACTTAATTAATCACACGCTAATGGACCGCACCGTTTTCCGTGCGTGCTATTCCGGTTCCCAACCATGAATGGCGAACACAGTCTACAAATACTTATATTTTGGGATGGAGCTAGTAGTCAGTTAGGGTCCTGACAAGTGCATGATGAATTTCATACAGCATATGATGATCTGTTAAAATTGACTACTCTATTATCCAATGAGATTGTGACGTAGGTTATTGTTTGATTTCTCACGTACTATCTGTTACCTTGAGCAGAACTATTTAATAGAGCAAAATGATCGTAGGGTCACCAGCTTTTTTGGAAAAAAAACAATTAACTTTGTTAACTCTAGGATTATTTGTTTTATTTAAAAATTTAGTGTAAATATATAAAAATATATATTTGATAATAAAACAAGTCACGGCAAATCAAATGATAATTGTTTTAACAAGAAAATAATCAAATGCGCACCTAATTAAAAGTCATCAACATCGTATAACATCATAGTATATTATAAGCGAACTAATAATAGCGAGAATATAAGAAAAAAAGAAAAGGAGTACTCCACTAAAAGGCTTAGTTCATTCCTGCATAGCTGAGCTCTTAAGCAGCACTGAAACCGAAGGAAGCAATTCATATATAATTAATTAATTAATAATCATTACAACTTGAGAAATAGATTCATTTGAATTTCTAAAGAAACTTTTACGTAATTTATTTTTTAAAAAATATCATTTAGCAATTTGACAGCGTGCTAATAGAAAATGAGAAAGTTCACTACTACAGAAAAGCACTTCAGTGCCGGTTGGGAGACCCCCTTTGGTGTCGGTTTTCCCAACCGGCACTATGCTAGCGGCACTGATTAGGGAGCCGGCACCAATCCCATTTTGAAAACCGGCACCTTTGAGACCACTGCGAGCCAAAAAAAAAAAGGCTCGATCCATCGGCTCGAATCAAGCCGATGCATCGAGCTCATCCACCCCGCGATGAATCACAATCACAATCAATCATAATCCCCAACTCCCAAATCAATCATAATCCCCAACCCCAATCAAACACATCATATAACAAGAAGCATTGAAGAACATCTCAGAGATCTTTCACTAACACATAAATCATTGAAGAACATTGAAGAAATATTGAAGAACATTGCAGAACAGGGAGGGCGCCGTCACCGCCTCTCAACCCGCCGCCGGGCTGCCACCACCTCCCCTCCCGCCGCATGCCACCTCCCGTCGCTGCCACCACTGGACCACCTCCCACCGCTGCCACCACTGGGCAACCTCTCCGTGGCAGCCGCTGGGCCGCCCCTCCCCGGATACGGCGGGGGGAGGCGGCGGCGGGACTGGATGAGAGTGAGAGAGATAGAGAGGGCGGCGAGCCACCTCTTCGCGACCGCCGCATGCCGCCCCTCCCGCCGCCTCCCGCAGCCGCCTCCCGCCGCCTCCACCGCAGCCGCCGCCTCCCGCCGGATCTGGCGGAGGGGGAGGCGGCGGCGGGACTGGATGAGAGTGAGAGAGAGAGAGGGCGGCGGGCTATCTCTCCACGACCGCCGCTGGGCCGCCCCTCCCGCCACATGCCGCCTTGTTATGACCCGCCTCCCGCCGCTGCCTCCCGCCGCCTCCCGCCGGATCTGGCGGAGGAGGAGGAGGCGGCGGCTGCGACGGAGGGGAGGGCACCGCCCGCCGCCCGTGGGGAGAGATAAAGAGAGCGAGAGAGAGAGAGAGGCGGATGTGAAGTGATGAGACCGAGAGAGAGGGGCTTCAGCGACTCGGTCTTATCCTCTCCCTCGGTCTTATCGGCTCCTCGGCTCGGCTCGGTTTAAAAGGTGTCGTTTTTTTTTAAAACCGACACCTATAATTTATAATAGGTGGCAGCGGGCTGATATACGTGTGAAAGGTTCTGGCCATTTTTAGAAAAACCGGCACAAAATATAATAGATGCAGGTTTTTATTTAGAACCGACACTTATAATTAGTTAAAGGTGCTGGTTTTTTACGATTTAACCTGTGGAGGTGGAAAAAGGCTTATAGGTGCCGGTTTTAGCACTGCCGACACCTGTAGTGACGACACCTATTTGATGTTTTGTAGTAGTGGTTGAAGTTTAGAACGGATATCCGCAATTTGTCGGTGAATGATTTTAGTAATACAGTTCATGGTTAATGAAAAGGATTTTCAATTAGTACATCTTTTGTAGATAATAAGATAAACCACTGGTCACTACCATATGAGGTGCGAGTGATAATGTTATCTTACCTGTTCTGTTATCATGCCACTAACAACGGATTCACACAAGTCCTAATTAACTCACGTGCTGTGCAAATCATCATTACATAGAACAAATGAAACAAAGAACAGAGTACCAGGCAAGTAGAATTAGAGCAAGTACTGTGCACCTTATCACTCAGCCTAAGCTGTCATATAGATTATTATGATGATATTGATGAGAGAGGAGAAACCACTTCTCATGTAAAGTACAATCTTCATATAAATTTTAAGAAATAAAAAAGAAAAGAGAGCAGTGGATTGACAGTAAGTGTATTGGGATAGTGTGAATAAAGATAATACATTGTACTATATGTTAATTCTAAATTAATAAGCATATGATATGAATAAAACTAAAAGTGATTATTACTTCTATTATAAAATTTTCCCTTTAGCAACATCACTAAGGGCCTGTTTAGTTCGCGAAAAAAAAATTTTGGTGTCACATCGGACGTTTGATCGGACGTCGAACACGAATGAAAAAACTAATTTTATAACTCACCTGGAAACCGCGAGATGAATCTTTTGAGCCTAATTAATCCATCATTAGTAAATGTGGGTTACTGTAGTACTTATGACTAATCATGAACTAATTAGGTTTAAAAGATTCGTCTCGCGAATTCCCTATTAACTGTGCAATTTGTTTTTTAATTTATCTATATTTAAATTTGTTTTTTAATTTATCTATATTTAATATTTCATGCATGTAACCCAAAGATCTGATGCTATGTTTTTAGGAAAAAGTTTTTTTTAACTAAACAGGGCCTAATTCACCGGCTAACCTTAAACCTCGTCATCAGTGAACAGTCACAGAAGTTTTGGGAATCCACTCCAGTGGCAAAATTAATCTAACACCCTGGCATCGACCGCCACTCACATATGTCCGTGGGGCCCACACCAAAGACCGTTGACTTGACTAGTCCACTCCTCTTTCACACGTATATCAGCCCGAGCCACCCGTGTACTCCACTCATCACTCCCCACCCCCAACCTCAGCTCGCCGCTCGCGAGGAAACCGGCTCCGCGACGAAAAGAATAATGTCGAACACCTATCTCCCCCTCCTCCCTGCTCTCGTCGCCGGCGTCCTCCTCCTCGCCGCCGGATGCGCCGCCGCCGCCGGCGACCGCGACACGCTCGTTGCCATCAGGAAAGGGTGGGGGAACCCGCGGCACCTCGCGTCGTGGGACCCCGCCTCGGCGGCGGCGGCGGACCACTGCAGCTGGGAAGGCGTGACCTGCTCTAATGCCACCACCGGCGGCGGCGGCGGCGCCGGCGTGGTGACGGAGCTGTCCCTGCACGACATGAACCTCACCGGGACGGTGCCCACGGCGGTGTGCGACCTCGCGAGCCTGACGCGGCTCGACCTCTCCAACAACCAGCTCACCGGCGCGTTCCCCGCCGCGGCGCTGTCCCGGTGCGCCCGCCTCCGGTTCCTCGACCTCGCCAACAACGCCCTCGACGGCGCCCTCCCGCAACACGTCGGCAGGTTGTCCCCGGCGATGGAGCACCTCAACCTGTCGTCGAATCGGCTCTCCGGCGCCGTGCCCCCCGAGGTGGCGGCGCTCCCGGCGCTCCGGTCGCTGCTCCTCGACACCAACCGGTTCACGGGGGCGTACCCAGCGGCGGAGATTGCCAACCTCACCGCCCTCGAGCGCCTCACGCTGGCCGACAACGGGTTCGCGCCGGCGCCCGTGCCGCCCGCGTTCGCCAAGCTGACCAAGCTCACCTACCTCTGGATGTCCAAGATGAACATCACCGGCGAGATTCCGGAGGCGTTCTCCAGCCTCACGGAGCTGACGCTGCTCGACATGTCGGGGAACAAGCTCACCGGCGCGATTCCGGCGTGGGTGTTCAGGCACCAGAAGCTCGAGAGGCTCTACCTGTACGAGAACTCCCTCTCCGGCGAGCTGCCGCGCAACGTCACGACGGCGAACCTGGTCGAGATCGACCTGTCGTCGAACCAGCTCGGGGGCGAGATATCGGAGGACTTCGGCAACCTCAAGAACCTCAGCTTGCTGTTCCTCTACTTCAACAAGGTCACCGGCGCCATCCCGGCGAGCATCGGGCGGCTCCCCAATCTCACCGACCTCCGGCTGTTCGGCAACGAGCTCTCCGGCGAGCTCCCGCCGGAGCTCGGGAAGAACTCGCCGCTCGCCAACTTCGAGGTCTCCAACAACAACCTCTCCGGCGCGCTCCCGGAGACGCTCTGCGCCAACGGGAAGCTGTTCGACATTGTCGTCTTCAACAACAGCTTCTCCGGCGAGCTCCCGGCGAACCTCGGCGACTGCGTGCTGCTGAACAACCTCATGCTCTACAACAACCGCTTCACCGGCGACTTCCCGGAGAAGATTTGGTCGTTCCAGAAGCTGACCACGGTGATGATCCAGAACAACGGCTTCACCGGAGCTCTGCCCGCCGAGATATCCACCAACATCTCCCGCATCGAGATGGGGAACAACATGTTCTCCGGCTCTATCCCGACCTCGGCGACCAAGCTCACCGTGTTCCGGGCGGAGAACAACCTGCTCGCCGGCGAGCTCCCGGCCGACATGAGCAATCTCACCGACCTCACCGATTTTTCAGTGCCGGGCAACCGAATATCTGGCTCCATACCCGCGTCGATCAGGCTGCTGGTGAAGCTCAACTCGCTCAACCTGAGCAGCAACCGGATCTCCGGCGTGATACCGCCGGCGAGCTTCGGGACGCTCCCGGCGCTGACCATCCTCGATCTGTCCGGCAACGAGCTCACCGGCGACATACCTGCCGATTTGGGGTACCTCAACTTCAACTCGCTCAACGTGTCGTCGAACCGGCTCACCGGCGAGGTGCCGCTCACGCTCCAGGGCGCGGCGTACGATCGCAGCTTCCTCGGCAACAGTCTCTGCGCCAGGCCGGGCTCCGGCACGAACCTCCCGACCTGCCCCGGTGGAGGCGGCGGCGGAGGCGGCCACGACGAGCTCTCCAAGGGCCTGATCGTCCTCTTCTCGATGCTCGCCGGCATTGTCCTCGTCGGCAGCGCCGGCATCGCGTGGCTGCTCCTCCGGCGGCGGAAGGACAGCCAGGACGTCACCGACTGGAAGATGACGCAGTTCACCCCGCTGGACTTCGCCGAGTCCGACGTGCTCGGCAACATCCGGGAGGAGAACGTCATCGGCAGCGGCGGGTCGGGCAAGGTGTACCGCATCCACCTCACCTCCCGCGGCGGCGGCGCCACCGCCACCGCCGGCAGGATGGTGGCCGTGAAGAAGATCTGGAACGCGAGGAAGCTGGACGCGAAGCTGGACAAGGAGTTCGAGGCGGAGGTGACGGTGCTCGGCAACATCCGGCACAACAACATCGTCAAGCTGCTGTGCTGCATCTCCAGCCAGGACGCCAAGCTGCTGGTGTACGAGTACATGGAGAACGGCAGCCTCGACCGGTGGCTGCACCACCGCGACCGCGACGGCGCGCCGGCGCCGCTGGACTGGCCGACGAGGCTGGCCATCGCCGTCGACGCCGCCAGGGGGCTCAGCTACATGCACCACGACTGCGCGCAGGCGATCGTGCACCGCGACGTCAAGTCCAGCAACATCCTGCTCGACCCGGAGTTCCAGGCCAAGATCGCCGACTTTGGCCTCGCCCGGATGCTCGTCAAGTCAGGCGAGCCTGAGTCCGTGTCGGCCATCGGCGGCACGTTTGGGTACATGGCGCCAGGTGAGAAATCTCATGTTCATTTCCCAATTCAAGATCCATTTCAATTCTTGTTCCCAATTTAATCAGGTTGACTAATTGAATGTAACCAAGAACCTCAAATTTCTTGTTCATTCATAGATTGAAATTGAATGACTAATTGGAGGAAAACAAAATTCACATTTTGCAGAGTATGGGTACAGCAAGAGGGTGAATGAGAAGGTGGACGTCTACAGCTTCGGCGTCGTGTTGCTGGAGCTGACGACCGGCAAGGTCGCGAACGACGCCGCAGCCGACTTCTGCCTGGCCGAGTGGGCGTGGCGGCGGTACCAGAAAGGCCCTCCGTTCGATGACGTCATCGACGCCGACATCCGGGAGCAGGCCAGTCTGCCGGACATCATGTCGGTGTTCACGCTCGGCGTGATCTGCACGGGGGAGAACCCGCCGGCGAGGCCGTCCATGAAGGAGGTCCTGCACCACCTCATCCGGTGCGACCGGATGTCGGCCCAGGGACCCGAGGCGTGCCAGCTGGACTATGTCGACGGCGCCGCTCCGCTGCTGGAGGCGAAGAAGGGGAGCCGGCGGAGGAGCTCGGAGTCTGGCAGGTGGGACGACGACGACGACGATGACAGCGGCAATTTCGTGGTGCACGTTGTTTAGGGGGCAATCCCGGTGTGCACTAGCACTGTAGAGCGAGTACATAGGTAGAGGAGCTCATCCATGATCCATGGTGGAGCTTTTGCAGAGGAGTTTTTCTCTGATGACGTGGCAGCTCGGAAAACATGAGCCCTTCAGATCTCAGATTGCAGCAGTAAGGTAAATATCCATCCTGCAATCTGTATGTAACATAATCAAGATGTTTAACATGTAATCTTGTAACTGTATCATAAGACGATCTTGGATCTTTTTCGATCCTTGTAATATATTCTAACAGCTAGTTATCTATTCTTGCAGGGGTTGTTTGGTTTGCAATAGCACCAAGTTGAGAGGTTTTGACAAGGAGCACATCACCTAGTAGTGCTCAAGGACCAAACAGATCACAGGTAAATCATCATCTCCAAGCTAAACACTGTCAGGCAGAATGCAATAGTGGATTCGCATCCAACATTCCAAGTTGCATTTCTGAAACTCTGAAACTTGTGGGCACATTTGGATGTTCTGAAGAAAACCGGAGAAAGTTTCGTCGGTCTTTGGAATGGACTGCATAAAATGGGCGGCTGGACTCTAGTGCTGCTGCTGCTACTGCACGCCCGCATGATGAAGCGAACTTGGTGTGGTTCGTTGCTACTGAATGTGACATATGGTGTGAAGGTTTTTTTCAAAGTGGGGGCAGGTTGGTCTGCAGAAACGAACAAATCCATTGGATGGAATCAACTGAACATTCTGAAGAAAACAGTGTGCAAGACAAGAGCATGACTCTGACTCGTGTGCACTGCAGATCGTCAACATGCTTTGGATCTATCTCATGTGCAGCCATACTGGCATCCATCCGGTGGCCAACCTTTATTACAAAACGGTGGCCTGAAGCCCTGAATGCAATGTTGTACAGTTTTCTGAATGATTACTTACTGTTCCATTTGCATACTACGGTACAATACAAGGCTGCCAACCTGAAAAATGTCGGTAGTGAAGAAGTAAAGATGATTTTTTTTTTCCAGGAGGAGATCAAGCTTTGTACATCTCACAGATGTCCGCTAGTACCACAACTGAGCATCAATCTTCTAGAACTTTTCCATTTGGCAAAGCGTTTTTTCACTGAAAATGAAAAGATCTCAGAAACATGAGTTGTATCCTCCTAGCTGATGTTAGTTACATGGCAGAAGTACCGTATATGGTATGCAGTACTGCCAGTGCTCACCTTGTGATGCCTGACGAGTTAAATCCAGTGGAAATTTTTAGCTACCATTATCACCTTGTAATGCTCAGTTGAAAAGCTCTCATCAGCTGACTCAGGATGACAAAAAACAAAAAACAAAAAAGAAAAAAAAACATGAGTGCCGTGCAATCAATCGACTAATGTAAATGGTGACATGCAATCTCTGAAGTAGTATTGAATGGAAAGCAACAGCATGATACGCTGTAGGTGAATGCAACCTGTAAAATAGAAAGCACAGAAACTTGCGACACTAGCATAGAAGTTTGTCATGTTGCTTGGCTATGGGGGTGTTATAGACCAGGGGTGTAAAGTTTTGGTGTGTCACATCGGGTATTATATAGGGTATCGTATGAGGTGTTCGGACACTAATAAAAAAACTAATTACAAAATCCATCTTAAGCCTAATTAATCCATCATTAGCAAATGTTTAGTGTAGCACAACATTGCCAAATCATGGAGTAATTAGACTTAAAAGATTCGTCTCGCAAAGTCGCAATCTATGTAATTAGTTATTTTTTAACCTATATTTAATCATTCATACATGTGTTCAAACGTTTAATGTTCAAACATTTCATGTGATTGGGTGAAAAAATTTAGAGTGAGATCTAGACAGGGCCTATATACACAAGCTCAGAGTGAAACAGGAACGCTGGGGTGGGGAAAAATTGATTGTCTGGAGTAATATAAGGTACAAATGCGATGCCATTGAGCTCAAAGAAAATTGTAAACATAAATTGACGTGGAAATATGGGAAATTCTCTGTTGTTAAGTCCTTTTAAAGAGCATTAAAACTGCAAGAAACCAGCGGATGGGAGGTGTGCATGTTGGAATTAATGGATGGGCCTTAGCCCACTCGAAGATTAATTCTTTCGAAAATCATAAAAGCCCACCACATGAGATGGCATGCATATAGAGTTTAGTACCACCTTGCTTATTCTAGGAGAGGGAGACCTCCTTAAAAGGGAGGATGCTCTCCTAGTCACTTGAAGCATGTGTGGTGGAGAGAAGAGGGGGAACACTCGCACGCCTCGCCGGGCTGGGCCGGTGGCGCGCATGCACGACGTACGCGTCGAATGGTGTTCCTCACCTTGTGCAGATGCAACCTCCTTTTGCAGTTTTGTTTTGCTGCAAATTCGGATTCGTTTTTGTTTTGGAAACGTTCCGAAATTCGGATTCGTTTTTGTTTTGGAAACGTTCCGAAAAATCCAGTGCGTGAAAACGGCGTGGAGTCCGGATAAGTTACGCGCGACTTATCCGGTTCGGTTACACGCAGTGGAGATCGTGCGGGCGCCCTGATCAAGCGACCCTTCTTTATATAAACCGATCCGCCGTCTTCACGCAACATACGCAAAATCAATCTAGGGTTTGTCTCCTACTCTGTGTTGTGCCGTCGCTCGTAGATTACTCCATCCCGCTCGCCGGCGTGCACCGGCGATCGGGAGAGCAGGTCTCTGGAACCTCTGCCTTCGACGTCCTGCACCGGGAGAAGGTGGCAATAAGGTTTTTGAGAAGCGCTTAGTGCGACTGCTCCCTGTTCGTCCGCGACGGCTCGTCTTCCTCTTCGCTCGCGTGCTGCGCGCCTTCGTAGACGCCTGCAATCACGAAAAGTTCCTGTCGAGCAGCCGGTCTTTCTACCACCTCGGTACGTGTTCAATATGTTGCGCATATTTGATCTGTTCATGTTTTACTGCTTAGTTTACATGTGTAGATCTAATGATGTGTTAATGCTAGTATACATCTGCAATGCCATGATTTATTTATGGAATATATTAAATCATTATATGCCTATAATTTCAACAATCCAAAAACCTTATTATAGGCACTGTGATTTTACTATGGCTGATTTTGCCGATGCACTGAGGCCGGATAAATTCACCGGTGTGCACTTTAAGAGATGGCAGATCATGGTCACTTTGTGGCTGACAGCTATGAAATGCTTCTGGGTGAGTATTGGCAAACCTGAAGGAGTTCTTACTGCTGAACAGCAAAAGCAATTCGAGGAAGCCACTACTCTCTTTGTGGGATGCATTCTTAGCGTTCTTGGCGATCGTCTGGTCGAGGTGTATATGCATATGACCGACGCTAAGAAGTTGTGGGATGCACTGAATACTAAATTCGGTGCTACTGATGCTAGCAATGATCTGTATATCATGGAGCAATTCATGACTACAAGATGGCTGACAACCGTTCTATAGTCGAAAAGGCTCATGAGATACAAACAATGGCTAAGGAACTCGAACTCCTTAAGTGTGTCTTACCCGACAAATTTGTGGCCGGGTGCATTATTGCGAAACTTCCTCCATCTTGGAGAAGTTTTGGTACTGCACTCAAACACAAGAGACAGGAATACTCTGTTGAGGGGTTGATAGCATCTCTTGATGTTGAGGAGAAAGCTCAGGAAAAAGATGCTGCGTATAAGGGCGATGGTGGGCAGTCCAATGCCAATGTTGTGCACAAGGCCCAGCACAAGAGCAAGGGGAAATACAAAGCTCAGCAGACCACCAACTTCAAGAAGCAGAAGAAGAACAACAACAATCCTAATCAGGATGAGAGGATTTGATTTGTGTGTGGCCAACCTGGTCATCTAGCTAGGAAGTGTCCACAGCGCAAGGGGATGAAGGCACCTGCAGGGCAAACTTCTAAGTCTGCTAATGTGACCATTGGCAACACTGGAGATGGAAGGGGGTATGGTAATTTATCTACTGTTTTTTCAGTTAATCAGTCTACTAATTGGTGGGTTGATACTGGGGCCAATGTACATGTTTGTGCTGACATCTCATTGTTTTCTTCTTATCAGGTCGCACGGGGTTCCACCGTCCTAATGGGGAATGGGTCACATGCTTCTGTTCATGGTGTTGGCACGGTAGATCTAAAGTTTACTTCGGGAAAGATCGTGCAACTGAAGAACGTGCAGCATGTCCCTTCTATCGACAGGAATCTTGTTAGTGGCTCCCGTCTGACTAGAGACGGATTTAAGTTGGTTTTTGAGTCTAATAAAGTAGCCGTGTCTAAACATGGATATTTTATTGGTAAAGGTTATGAGTGCGGAGGCCTGTTCCGTTTTTTCCTTTCTGATTTCTGCAATAAGTCTGTGAACCATATTTGTGGTAGTGTGGATGATGAGGCTAATGTCTGGCACTCACGTTTATGTCATATTAATTTTGGCTTGATGTCTCGGCTTTCCAGCATGTGTTTAATTCCTAAGTTTTCCATTGTCAAAGGTTATACGCGCCATAGTTGTGTGCAATCAAAGCAACCTCGCAAGCCTCACAAGGCTGCTGAGGAGAGAAACTTGGCACCTCTAGAACTCCTACATTCAGATATTTGTGAAATGAATGGGGTGTTGACGAAGGGTGGAAAACGATATTTCATGACGTTGATTGATGATGCTACTAGATTTTGCTATGTGTACTTGTTGAAAACGAAAGACGAGGCTGTAGACTATTTTAAAATTTATAAGGCAGAAGTTGAAAATCAACTTGACAGAAAGATAAAAAGACTTAGGTCTGATCGTGGTGGAGAGTTTTTCTCAAACGAGTTTGACTTATTCTGTGAGGAATATGGGATTATACATGAGAGGACGCCTCCCTATTCTCCCGAGTCTAATGGGATTGCCGAAAGGAAGAACCGCACACTGACTGACTTGGTGAATGCCATGTTGGACACCGCGGGACTACCTAAGGCATGGTGGGGGGAGGCATTGTTGACCTCGAATCATGTGTTAAACAGAGTTCTAACAGAAATAAGGACAAAACACCATATGAGATATGGATTGGGAGAAAACCATCACTTTCTTACTTGTGCACATGGGGGTGCTTGGCGAAAGTCAATGTACCAATAACGAAGAAACACAAACTTGGACCTAAGACTGTGGACTATATCTTTCTGGGATATGCTCACCACAGCATTGCCTATAGATTTTTAATAGTTAAATCCGAGGTACCTGACATGCATGTTGGTACAATTATGGAGTCTCGTGATGCTACCTTCTTTGAGAGCTTTTTCCCAATGAAGGATACACATAGTAGTTCTAGTCAACCTTCTGAAATAATTCCCAGTTCAATCACACCACCAGAACAAACTGAATATACACATGAACATGTCACTGAGGAGGATGACAGTGAAGCTCCTCGAAGGAGTAAAAGACAAAGGACGGCTAAGTTCTTTGGTGATGATTTCACTGTGTACCTCGCGGACGACACTCCTAAGTCAATTTCAGAAGCATATGCATCTCCTGATGCAGACTACTAGAAGGAGGCTGTCCGTAGTGAAATGGATTCCATTATCACTAACGGAACTTGGGAGGTGACAGAGCGACCCTATGGGTGTAAACCTGTGGGGTGCAAGTGGGTGTTCAAAAAGAAGCTGAGGCCTGACGGTACCATTGAAAAGTACAAGGCTTGGCTTGTTGCTAAGGGCTATACTCAGAAAGAAGGCGAAGATTTCTTTGACACTTACTCACCTGTTGCCAGATTGACCACAATTCGTGTGCTACTTTCCCTAGCAGCCTCACATGGTCTTCTCGTTCATCAAATGAACGTTAAGACAGCTTTTCTTAATGGAGAGCTGGATGAGGAGATCTATATGGATCAACCTGATGGGTTTGTAGTTGAAGGTCAAGAAGACAAGGTGTGCAAATTGTTGAAGTCTTTGTATGGTCTGAAACAAGCTCCTAAGCAATGGCATGAGAAATTTGATAGAACATTGACATCTGCAGGCTTCGCAGTCAATGAGGCAGATAAATGTGTATACTATCGCCATGGTGGAGGTGAGGGAGTTATTCTGTGCTTATATGTTGATGACATACTGATATTTAGGACAAATCTTGAGGTGATAAATGAGGTTAAATCATTCTTGTCTCAAAAATTTGATAGGAAGGATTTGGGAGTAGCTGATGTTATCCTAAACATCAAGCTAATTAGAGGTGAGAATAAGATTACACTCTTGCAGTCCCATTATGTGGAGAAGATCTTGAATCGCTTTGGCTACATTGATAGTAAGCCTTCTCCAACGTCTTATGATCCTAGCT